CTACAGACTACACAAAAAGCCGGTTAAAACTAATAAATGAATTCAAAGTTGCAGGATACAAAACCAACATGCAAAAATCAGTTATATTTCTATACATCACCAATGAGTGATCCATGCAGAAAGTTAAGAAAACATTTATAATATCATCATGAAGAATAAATTCTTTAGGAATAAATATTTAATCATGGAGGTACAGACTTATATGCTGAAAACTACAAACCATTGCTGAAAGAACTTAAGGATGACCTAATTAAATGGAAAGATTAAATACACCCCATATTCGTGGATTGGAAGACTCAATGCTGTTAGTATGACAATATTCCCCAAAAGATATACAGATTAATTGCAATCCCTATCAAAATCCCCATGGCCTTTTTTACAGAAGTGAAAGAACCCATCTTAAAATTCCTATGGAATTTCAAGGGACTCAAAGTAGCCAAAATGAAATTGAAAAGAAGACAAAGTTGAAGATCTCACAATTCCCTCTTTCAAATGTACAGTGCTACAAAGCTACCATAATCAAAACGTTGTGGTACTAGTATATAGAATAATGGACTAGAATTGAGAGCACAGAAAATAAATCTTCGTAATATATAGCTAAATGACTTTGACAAGGCAACCAAGACCATTCCATGGGGCAGGAATGGTCTCTTCAACAAACGGTGCCAGGACAACTGGATATTCACATGGGAAAAAATGAGATTGGACCCTACTTTACACCATACATAAAAATTAATTCAAATGGATCAAAGACCTGTATTTAAGAACTAAAGCAGGCCGGGTGCAGTGGCTCACGCCTGTAATCCTAGCACTCTGGGAGGCCGAGGCAGCGGATTGCTCAAGGTCAGGTCAAAACACCCTGAAGCAAGAGCGAGCCCACGTCTCTCTTATAAATAGAACAAATTAATTGGCCAACTAATATATATAGAAAGAAATTAGCCGGGCATGGTGGCGCATGCCTGTAGTCCCACTACATTGGGAGGCTGAGTGCAGAGTTGCTTGAGCCCAGGAGTTTTGAGGTTGCTGTGAGCCTAGGTCTGACGCCATGGCACTCACTCTAGCCTGGGCAACAAAGCGAGACTCTGTCTCAAAAAAAAAAAAAGAACTAAAGCTGTGAAAGTCTAAGAGGAAGCCATAGAGGAAAATCATGCACTTGGATTTGGCAAAGCTCTCTTAAAAATGACACCAAACGCATAGGCAACAAAATAAAAAGTAAGTAAATTGGACCTTATCAAAATTAATAACTTTTCTGCATCAAAGAACACTATGAACAGAGTAGAAAGAGAGGATTTCCAGTTCCAAAATGGTGGTATAGAGGCAAGCTGACTTCACCCCGCCCTCCCCCACAGAAAGCCAAAAATAAATATACAGCACCAAGACCTACACCAGCAACAACCCAGAACTCAAGTACAAGGATGAGACAGTTCCCGGGGCCACAGATGGCAGAATGGACTTCCACATTCACAATGCCCATTCCCTAACTCTGCCCACATACTGGGTAAGGAAAATCTCCACCCAATTCATGGTTTTCACACTAGAAAAAGGAAAATTGAGGTGGTCAACTAGCTTCCCGACCTTAGTGGCTTTCCTAGCAGGAGACCTGTCCTTATTTTAACCCACAAGAAGTATTGTAACTACCTGAAGGGAGAAATATCTCTAAAGACAGGCAGAAACAAATGGGGGAGGTGGGACTACCATCCCCAGGCCTGGAAAACTCTGCTCTATAATTTAGCCAAAGAAGATGCCAAATCAGAATGGGTGTTCAGCAACACCATGCTGTAGGAGGTACATTCTCCAGGTTCCTAGCCATTATGGAAAACAGTATGAGGGTTCGTCAAAAAATTAAAAATAGAACTACCGTATCATCCCACCTCTGCATATATATCCAAAGGAAATAAAATCGATATCTCAAAGAGATATGTGCAATCCCAAGTTCACTGGAGCATTATTTAGAATAGTCAAGATATTGGCATTAACCTAAGTGTCCAACAAAGTACCAATGGATAAAGAAAATGTAATGTATATACACAATGGAATACTGTTCATCCTTCAAAAGAAGGAAATCCATGTGACACCATGGATGATGGATGAATCTGCAGAACAACAAGCTAAGTGAAATAAGCCAGACACAGAAAGACAAATATTATATGATCTCACTTATATGTAGATTCTGAAAAAGTTGAAGTCATAGAAGCAGAGAGTAGAATGGTGGTTGCCAGGGGCTGGGGGAGGGAATGAAGAGATGTTGGTCAAAGGGTAGAAAGTTTTAGTTAGATATTATGAATAAGTTCTGGAGTTCTGTTGTACAGCATGATGACTATAGTTAATAATAATATGTACTTGGGGGCCGGGCGCCCGGCTGCGCTCACCTGCTCCTCTAGCACTCTGGAGCTGAGAGCGGCAGATTGCTCAAGGCTCAGGAGTTCGAAACCAGCTGAGCGAAGAGCGAGACCCCTCTACTGATAAATACGCGCGAAATTAATTGGCCAACTAATATATAATAGGAAATAAAGTGCACCAGGCATGGTGCACATGCTCGTAGTCCCAGCTACTTGGAGCTGAGCAGCGGATTGCTGGCCCTGGAGTTTGAGTTGCTGTGAGCTACGCTGACGCCACGCGCACTCACCTCTAGTCTGTCAACAAGTGAGACTCTGTCTCAAAAATAATATAATAAAATACCCTAATCAATAATTGACTTGAAATTGCATGAAAATACGTCTTTTAACATGCTTTCCATAAAAAAAACACTATGTGAGGTAATGAATATAATAAAATCTGTGTTGGATTATGAATAATCTTTTTCAATGTACATATACCAAAATATCACTTTTACACTCCGTAAAGTATCTAAATTTTGTCATTATATATCAAAACGCTGACAATGGAAAAATAACTACAATGGTATGGAATTAGAATGTTTCTATCTAACACAAAGAAATGATAGATGCTGAACAGCACTAAACCCGATTACCCTGATTTGAGTAGTGAGGGAATATATTGCTATATCAAACCATCATCATGTACCCATACAAATATTACAATTATATGCCTAATAATAACAAATAAAATACAATAAGATCCATACGAGGTGTAAAGCTGCGATGAGAAATTAGATTTTCCACAGTCTCAAAGTATCACCCACAACATACTTATAAATAACAAAGAGAAAAATGCTTAAGTTTACAGTGAAAAAGCCTGGAAGACACCATCTTAATCAAGAGATCAGGCCAGGCACGATCGGCATCACCGCCTGAATCCTAGCCTCTGGGGCGCCGATGCGAGCAGACTTGCCTCGATGTCAGGAGTTCGAAACCAGCCTGAGCAAGACGCAGACCCGTCTCTCTATACAATAGAAAAAATCTTATGGCCAAGCTAATATATAGTACGAAAAATTAGCCGGGCATCGGTGGCACATGCTCTATGTCCAGCACTTGGGAGGCTTAGGCAGTGAGGATTGCTTGCAGCCCAGGAGTTGAGGTTGCTGTAGCTAGGCTGATGCGACGCGACTCCCACTCTAAGCCTGGGCAACAAAGCGCGAGACTCCTGTCTCAAAACAAAAAAAAAAAAAGAGATCAAAGTTAACACTACCTATAATAGTATAAATCGATCCTTGATACCACCCAATAGGAAGACATGAAGAAAACAAAGAATCTATTCTGTGATTTTCTGGCCGCAAATTCGTAACCTGGTCTAATCATGAGGAAACTTTGGATAAAGCCATATTTAAGTCACATTCTACAAAATGGCTTTAATCTTCAAAACTGGCAAAGTAATGAGCATCAAGGTAAGAATGAGGAAGTGTTCCAGATTGAAGGAGACTAGAGACTATATGTAATCCTAGATTGAATCTATTTCTATATAGGACATTATTGGAAAACATGAATGGAATCTGTGGACAAAGGGTATACAGGAGTTATTTGTGATATTCTTATAACTTTCCTATAAATATGAAATTGTTTTTAAAAATTTTTAAAGCCTAGAAGAGTATTTGGCACATAATAGGCAATATATAAGTATTTACTAAATTAAGTTCTCCATCATAACACAGAATTTGGAGGAGAAAGTAAGACCAATTTCACAAGTAGGTACAACTTATGAGATACTAGCAACAGTCTCCCTAATGGCCAACTACATATATCTCTGTTATTAATTCCCTCTGTGACAGTAAAGACTGAAGTAGATAAAGGCATTGAAATAGAGGAGAAAGAATGGAAAATGAAGATAAAGTGGAAAAGCAAAAAACTATAAATTTAGGAATTTTGATGAAATCCAGTTCAGGAAGCAGGTTTTATCCTATCAAATCTCTCACACCTCCAAATCTCAATATAGAAAAATACTATGGCAGTGACATGATTAACTGCTCTCAACCTTGTCAGCAAGAAAATAAACTCATTTTTCCTTATTTTGCTGTGTAGCATGAAATATGAAGGAAATATTATCCAAATGGTTTGACAATAAAAAGGAAAGCAAAGAAATTTTAAGAAATAACCCATATCGTCCAGGCGTGGTGGCTCACACCTGTAATGTTAGCACTCTAGGAGGCTGAGGTGGGAGAATCGATTGGGCTCAGGAGTTGAAACCAGCCTGAACAACAGCGAGACCCCATCTCTACTAAAAATACAAAAATTAGCTGAGCATGGTGGCACATGCCTGTAGTCCCAGATACTCAGGACACTGAGACAGAAGGATCGCTTGAGCCCAGGAGTTTGAGGTTGCTGTGAGCTAGGCTTATGCCACACCACTTCAGCCCAGGCAACAGAGTGAGACTCTGTCTCAAAAAGGAAAAAAAGAAAAAAAATAAATAACCCATATCACTTTTTCAAGTGCCCTTTCTAGTAAAGAGCAAGGGAAGCAAAATATTACAAAAAATCAGCTAAGCAAGTAGAATTAATCTCAAATAGAATCTCCAAAAGTTTGCATGAAGTAGTAATGCTTCTTCCTGGAACTTAATATAGTATATTTTCAAACTCTTAGAGAATAAACACAGAGATTTCACTCACCATTTTAGGGAGCCTCATCAACATATCTTTACAACGCAGTACACATGTAGATGCTCTTTGAAAATCTCCTTGAGCAATTGCCTGAGAATGAGAAAAAATGTCAATCATTGGTTAAAATCAAATGACAAGGTATTTGTCTCTAAGTCAATTTTAGCATACTTTAGTGTTAAAAAGTCTTATTTTGTTTTTTAATCTTTTTAGCAATGCTGGTTGGTCAAGCTAAACATAACAGCGCATTCAAAATACAAATGCAGAGTTGATTCTGGGTGAGCAGGAGTCATTTACTTTTTCTGGAAATGCAGAAACTGGTGTACTACCTTATGTTATTGTATTATGACATTATGTCATGTTTAATAGATGCTTCTCCAACTTGAGTAGCTCTTGTGTTTTTCTCTATACTAGAGGAATTAAGTTAAACAGCCATTTTTTGTCCTAAAACAAGCTCACAATAACCTCATAATCCAAACTGCTGTGTATATCCACTACGAAAAGCAGTTCAGTGCAATCTCATCTTGAAGCCACAAGAGCTACTCTACCACTTGTTATGTGTAACCTTGAGCCTTAAGCTCTCACAGAGTCAGTTCCCTCGTCTATAAAGTGAGGAGACTTTAGAATTCCTTCAAATTCTACCATTCTGTGACTGAACACCCCCAAATGGAACATCAATCACACATTATTTAAGCACTTATAAAAGAGGATTATTTCAGCCATTTAAGCATTTAGCTGACAGACAAAGCATTTTAAAAAAACATGGACACATACAAGAAAATAATTTTATAAAGTACTACATGTACTATTTTCTTTTCCTTATGTGGTGTCAAATATTCTTGTGCTTTGAATAAGAAAAGGATTGAGAGAAGAAAAGATGAACAACATAAGATGCCAGGTTCTGTCTAGTTTTTTCCACTATCTACTTGCTGAATAGAACCCTTGAGATCTTGCTAAGTAGATATCCTCCTCTAAGGAAGGGAAAATAAATTGTTAACACAAAAGGCTCAATAAGCCAAATCTGTATCTATAAAGATTACAATATAATATTCAAATATACACAATAAATATTCTATGAATATTTGCTGATTGATTCATTATTCAATTGAGAGAAAATCTCATTATAAAAGAGAAATGCTGAGTGACAAATCCCATATCAGAGGATGCTGCTTTCTGTTCTCATAATGTATAAAACAACACAAGACTTCAATGCTCAGAAACTCCATAAAGTGTCTATCATTACTCAGATTGTAGCTTAGAGAAATCAAAGCTCTAATAATTCAAGCTTGTTTTGAAAATTTATTCATCTTCTTGTGGCCAGAAATCAATATTTCAAACCCAAAAGAAAGAGAATTCAAGCAAAAGAAGTCTTAAAAAGGGGGCAGCATGATACAGTGCTGTAGCAACCTCTGATCAGCATTAGACTTACCAGTGGAGCTTTAGGAAATCATATGCCCACCTCCCACCATGTGGAGATTGTGATTCATTAGGTATGGGATGATGCCCTTCTTATACTGATGTAGTAAAAAGAATATGCACTTTGGATTTCCAGTTTTTCCACTGCTTTGCTTGGTGAAATTAGGCAAGTCACAACCTCTTTGGGCCTCAATTTTCTTAACTGTAAAATAGGGATGGTAATGTCTACCACATAGGATTGATCTTATGAGGATCAAATAAGATCACCGACATGAAAGCATTCCATAAACTATAAGTCAGTATACAAAAATGTGAACATTTTTAGAATTCAAAACTACTATCAGTGCTAAGAATTGGTTTGTTTTTTATTTTTTTTGAGACAGAGTCTCACTTTGTTGCCCAGGCTAGAGTGAGTGCCGTGGTGTTAGCCTAGCTCACAGCAACCTCAAATTCCCAGGCTCAAGCGATCCTCCTGCCTCAGCCTCCCAAGTAGCTGGGACTACAGGCATGTGCCACCATACCCGGCTAATTTTTCTTATATATTTTAGTTGGTCAATTAATTTCTTTCTATTTATAGTAGAGACGGGGTCTCACTCTTGCTCAGGCTGGTCTCAAACTCCTGACGTCGAGCAATCTGCCCACCTCAGCCTCCCAGAGAGCTAGGATTACAGGCATGAGCCACCGCACCCAGCCCTATCAGTGCCAAGAATTGTAATAAAGGTACTTATTTGTTCCTATGTGGTACTTCCTATTGCTGGTGAAGAAAAGAAAAGCTCTCTGAAATCATATCCTAGCAGATCTATAAAGTATTGTAACTTACACTGATGCATTAGGGAACCTTAGGTTTGCTCTTCCTTAGAAGAGAGAACAAAAGCTCCAAGGTTAGATCTAAACTGCTGCTCACCAACAATGAATTATGGCCATTATATAAGAAGTTAAATGCTAAATTGACCATCAAATAATATGCTCCTAAGTGATGATGACAACACAATCCATCCAAAGACAGTAAACTACACCAAATGGATCCACTATAAATTTATGTTTATTTCAACCAAACCCAGCCAGGCACGGGGGCTCACGCCTGTAATCCTAGCACTCTGGGAGGCGCGGCGGGCGGATTGCTCGAGGTCAGAGTTTGAAACCAGCCTGAGCAAAGGCGAGACCCAGTCTCTACTAAAAATGAAAGAAAATTATTGGCCAACTAAAATATATAGAAAAAATTAGCCGGGCATGGTGGTGCATGCCTGTAGTCAGCTACTCGGGAGGCTGAGGCAAGGAGGATTGCTTGAGCCCAGGAGTTTGAGGTTGCTGTAAGCTAGGCTGACGCCACCACACTCTGGCTCAGGCAACAGAGCCAGAGTCTGTCTCAAAAAAATAAAATAAAATAAAATAAAATAAAATAAAATAAAATAAAATATCTGTGTCCCTTTCCTTCCCAGAAAAATTCACAGTCTTCTTAATTATCACAGCATTGTTAACTACTCATCGTTCATTTTACCGTGGAGCCTCATATTTCTTTTAAAGCAATTACCTTGTTGTAATGCATCTATTTACATATCTGTATGTCCTACAAAACTTGTCTTAAGGTCCTATAAGAGATGTAACACATATTAATGTTATCAATCTTTTTATCTCTAGTACACAGATCATTGACTCATATGGAAGGCACTAAAGAAATGTTCAGCCCTCTATATATGCATTTTATCAGATTAATTTCATCTCCTTCTAGTCTGTAACCCATCAATTAACCCCCCTCCTCTTTATCCAAATCCTCCAATCTTCTCCCTGGCTTTTTAAATTCTATCTATAATAAGTTCATATATATACTCTATTTTGCAAAAAACCTTCCCTTGACCATGCTACTCTTAGGAGCTACAATCCAATGTTTCTTCTTCTTCTCATTGGCAAACATTCTGACATACTGTGCTATACTAATTGTTCTCAAATTTAAGCAGGCAACAGAATCATCTGGAAAATTTTTTAGAATGAAGATTATTGGGCCCTATGCCCCAAATTTCTGATTCATCAGGTCTAAGGTGGTACCCTAAAATTTGCATTTCTAACAGGTGCCCAGGTGATATTGATGCTACTGGTCCAGGGACCACACTTTGAGAATCACAGCTGTAGACCAATCTTATACCAATGGCTCTAAATCTTCTTGGTTTCAGGAGCCTTATATCTCTTAGAAATTATTAATGACTCAAAAGATTTTAATTATCTAGGTTATAGTTATCAATGTTTGCCATATTAGAAATTAAAACAAAAATGTAAATATTCATTCATTTTAAAATAACAATAAGTCCATTGTATGTTAACATAAATATTTTTATGAAAACTAAATTTCCAAAAATAAAAATATTTAGTGAAAAGAGTACCATTGTATTATATCTTTACAAATCTACTTAATGTTTGGCTTTATAGAACATCTAGATTCTCATAACTGCTTCTGCATTATAGCTTTTGTAATGGTTTGGGTTGAACTATATGAAGAAACTCCAGTTTCACACATATATGTAGTTAGAGAATAGTCTTTTCAGGCAATTGTGGGTATTCTTATTTGATATAACACCTAAACTCAGCAAGTGATAGTTTCTTTCTTTTTTTTTTTTTTTTTTTTTTTTGAGACACAGTCTCACTCTTGCCTGGGCTAGAGTGCTACAGCATCAGCCTAGCTCACAGCAACCTCAAACTCCTGGCTCAAATGATCCTCCTGCCTTAGCCTCCCAGGTAGCTGGGACTACAGGCATGGGCCACCACGCCCAGCTAATTTTTTTGTATATATTTTTAGTTGGCCAATTAATTTCTTTCTATTTTTAGTAGAGATGGGGTCTAACTCTTGCTCAGGCTGGTTTCGAACTCCTGACCTCAAGCAATCCGCCCGCCTCGGCCTCCCAGAGTGCTAGGATTACAGGCGTGAGCCACTGCACCCGGCCAAGTGATAGTTTCTTAAAGGTTAGTTGCAATGTGAATTTTGAAACCATATCAATAAATGTTTCAAACTCTATTTACATTAAAACCCATGGGTCTATCCTACACTTTGAATGGATCTTCTAACCATGTATGATTTTGTAAAAATATGAATCAGTAATTTAGAAAATATACACTAAGTTATGCAGATATGCACATAGGTTGACATATTCCATCATAACATATCAAAAAAATCACATTCATCCTCACCACTCTTATTCAACATACTGTTGAAAGTCCTAGCGAGCATAACAAGTCTAGGAAAGGAAATAAATGGCATTGAAGGAGCTCAGGAAATTTCACCACAAAATATGACTCCTTGGTATATAAAGAGTATTTTTAATTACAGAACTTTATAGATCAACAGACCCTTGGAAGGGGCCTTCTCTGTATCTGCATAACAAGGTGGACCCATCAAAAGAACAATAGATTTCCCTTCTCCCTGTTATCTCACTCTATTACAGGCAAGAAAATGAAGCATGCAACCAAATGTGGTTCAAATCATTTTAAATATAATATCTGTCTCGTTTACAAGTCAATCTGATTCCCCCATCCATTCACCCTCCCTAGCAACCATTTATTGCCCCTAAACAGAATTACCTAAATTCCTCATCTTTCCCCTCCCCTCTAAAAGGCTGGCATAAAAATATCTGAACTTCATTGGGATATTGGGTAATTACTCTGTGATTCTCCCCATGTGCACGGTACATAAATCTCTTCCTTTTATTAATCTGCCTTAATTGTGAGTTGATCAAAAAAAAAAATTGTGAGTTGATCTTTCAGCGAACTTTTGGGGTAAGGGAAGTTTTCTCTCACCCCCACAGTTACCAGCCTGGGCAACGTAGTGAGTCCTCGTTTCTACAAAAAATTAGCCAGTATGGTGGCGCATGCCTGTAGTCCCAGCTACTTGGGAGACTGAGGCAGGAGGATCACATCAACCCAGAAGTTTGAAGCTACAGTGAGCTATGATCATACCACTACACTCCAGCCTGGGTGACAGAGCAAGACCCTGTCTCTAAAAAAAAGAAAAACTGGCATTCTTTTTAAAACAAGTGTATAGTGGTGAAGAATACAAGAACTACTAATGAAGTGTATGCTGTGCCACTGTCTTGATTCACATCCAAGTGACAGCAGTTTTATCCATCATTGCTTTTGCACCACTGGTGCAAATGCTTCAATAGCAAAAAAAAAAAAAGGCAAATAATGTTTTGCAATTATTATGAAAATAGTTTTGACTTCTCATAACCCCCCATTCTGATTTCTCCATTGCTTCACCACCTACTCAGTCCTTAAACACCTATAGTCTGTCTTTAATCTTTACCTTACTACTGAAACTGCATTCTATAGTCACTATCAAATTCCTAAATGCCAGATACAATAACTTTTAGTCTGATCTCATTTTCCTTACTTCTCTGAAGCACTGGCACTGTGCCTATGATCATCCCTTTCTCCTCGAAGTTTTCTTCTCTTCTTACACATGACCCACTGCTCTAGTCCTCTTTCATCTCTGATGCCTTTTATCCTTTTTGTTTGCTCTACTTTTGACTATACCCTCCCACTTCCCAACAACATGTAAATATTTATGGAATGAACAGGTTTTCTTATTATTCTCCCTTTCCTGCCTCCAAAGATTGAGTGGTTCAAGTCCTCATTGAGTATAAATGCTTGCTTCCCTTATAATGTCTCCTCTATTTGTCCCTTCTTTCCCATCCTCATTGCTAATACTATAGTCCAGGCTCTCATCAGTTCATGCCTACCCTATACCTCCATTCTGTTTACTTTTCAATCCACTCGAAGAATGATTGTCAGATTACTCTTTGCTTGGTGTCACCTTACCTCTTCCCAATCACCTTCAACCACCCCACTGCCTTTAGAAAAATATAAAAAAAATGTTTTTTCAAAGAGATATGTTTTGGGTTTCTCAACCTGGCCCAACTTATTTTTCCAAACTTAGCCCTTGTGCAATATTTTACTTCAGATAAACTGGTTACTCGATGTGTCTGAAACATGACATGCACATTTCTGCCTATATGACTTTGCTCATGCTTAAGCCTTTGCTCTGCCTAGAATATTCTGTGCCCTCTTCCCTACTTTATTCAATCTATTTCTTCCTTCAAAGTTCAAATCATGCTCTAAATCCTTTGTGTATCTTCCCCTACCAACAGGGTCCACAATAATCTCTCCCTTTTCTACACTCTTATAGCATTTGCTTATATCAGTGTTCCTCAATCTTTCACATCTTACAAACTACTTATCACTTTTTTGTTGGGAGAGGAGGCAAAGAGGTCAGGGAGGGATAATAGTAGGAGATCAGATACATTTGTACTACATACATTAACATAATATCTATATTATGTGCTAGGTACCATGCTAGAAGCTGACAATGCAAGAATTAATTTTTTACATTACTACTTTTTTAACTAGTAGGAAACATAGTGGACTAGGGCAGTTGGTATAATACAGAAAGCTGGTTTTCCACTTAGTTTGTCTCTAGGATACCCTCCATCACAGTCTTTATAGATAAGCTCATGGCTCCTACTTCAGTGTGACCCTGTCAGCTTCTACAAATGCTCTTACCCTAAATGGGGGAGGGAACACAAGTACAACATATGACCCTTGCATCTGCAAATGATGCAGACAACAGAAAGATCCACTGCCACTAACCAAGGGAAATGGGGAATTAGGAGAAACACCAAGATCTAGTTGTTTCTATAATGCTAAAAGATTACAGATGGATAATCTGTGTTACAAATATAAACAGAAGAGCATCCATCACCTTGTCAGTGAATACAGAGATTGATGAAAAGTAAATTTTTAATAATTGTCAAATGAAGGACATGTGACCACTGCTGGGGATCAGAAAACAGTACCCCAAAATGAAGGCCTCAGAAGCAAATGTTTTTCTCTGGCCTTCCCTGTCCTCTTTTCTCTCAGTCCCATTCTCCCTTGAGGCCAGCCATAGGAGCTAGAATCCCTCTTCCCCAAGGCAGGTCAGAGAAATCAGAACCCCCTTTCCCAATAGCCAGCCATTAAACCTAAAATTATTCTGTGTAAAAACTGACCATAAAGAAATTATCTGACCTACTTTGTTTTATTGTAGGTCATAAGACCCCCTTTCCATAGAGGGCCCTGCCTTACACCCAGAAGGAGGGAATGTATGCTCAGAGAAGCCAAGAAGAATCTAGACAGACAGGCCTTGCTGGGGTCCCTCCTGCCCCCTAAAGCTTTGCCACCCTCCATTAGCATTAGATCATGCCCTTTTTATCCAATCATACTTCTACATGGTTGTCCATATTTTGTTGAACCTAAACATAAAAATGGACAGTTTCTCCTGTATCTTTAGGTCTTCATTCTGAAGGTTCCCATGTATATACATTATATAAATTTGTATGCCTTTTCTCACATTAATCAATTTGCTTCATGTCAGCGATTTTTCAGCACATACATACCACCTTAGACAAAGTCTGTGTCCCACCTACTCTATGCCACTCATTGGCACTTAATATTTTCCTTTTTCCATTTTAAAAAATGTATTCACAGTCTATCTCCCAAACTAGCTTATAATTTTCTTTATGTGATCATATTTTATATCTTTACTCATATATAGCACTAAACACTGCAGGTAGATCATGTATCTGCACAACCCTTATGGTACCTAATTCTTTCTACCTTATATATGCATCCTTTATCTCACCAACTAAACTATAATCTTCTCGAAGATAGGATATGTGATCATTTGTATTCCCCCACAAAGCCTAGCATAGTACTATTAATAGAAAATAGTTATTGTCTGTTGAATAATTTAATAAATAATAAATAAAGCAACTATCTAACTGGTTTAATGGTAAGTGCCTAGAGAAAGATAAGACCTATATAGATCTCTGAGAAATATCTCAGGAGCTCTATTGGGACAGAGAAAATCCATTAGCAAATACTACTGTTAACAGTGGTTTTTAAAGATGTCAAGCAAATATCAATAAAACCCATAGGCCCTAATCATGAGAATTTCTTATAGATGAAAAATCAACTTGCAGCGAAAAAATTAGCCTTCATTCCAATTTTTGTAGATGTTACAAAAGTCAAGAATTATATAGTTCTCATTATTGATCATAACTACTAATACTTTCAGCCAGTTAAAGAAGATACCATTTACATATCAACATTCACAATACTGAAGAAATGGTACAAAACTTTCTGTAATCATATAATCTTGGCATTAGGAAGGGACTTAAGAGTCATAGTAGTCTAATTTTCTACCTAAGAAAGTAGTCCTCTCAGTAATACATAATTTTTAGGATGTTCACACCTTTGCTTACAGTCTTCCAGTAACAACAGACTTATGATCATGCAAGAAAGCTGTTCCATTATAAGCTTACTATCACTGATAAAAGATTACTCTTTATGTTGAGCCAAAATCTGTCTTCCCATAATTTCTACTCATTGGTCTGTATTCCATCCTGTGAAGTTTATTTCCTCTTTAACATGATAATCCTTAAAATATTCAAAGAGAGCTATTATTCCTACTGTCTTCTTTTTTCCAGGTAGACATCACTATATTCTCCAAATACTGAAAATGTGAATTAACTAGTATAGAATGCCTACCTAGATCTGGACACTACATATCTATTAATATAGCCTAATATTGCACTAGCTTTTTTTTTTTTTTCCCCTGAGACAGAGTATCACTCTGTTGGCCTGGACTAGAGTGCCGTGGCATCAGCCTAGCTCACAGCAACCTCAAACTCCTGGGCTCGGCCAGGCACGGTAATCCTAGCACTCTGGGAGGCCGAGGCGGGTGGATTGCTCAAGGTCAGGAGTTCGAAACCAGCCTGAGCAAGAGCGAGACCCCCGTCTCTACCATAAATAGAAAGAAATTAATTGGCCAACTAATATATATAGAAAAAAATTAGCCGGGCATGGTGGCGCATGCCTGTAGCCCCAGCTACTCAGGAGGCTGAGGCAGCAGGATCGCTTGAGCCCAGGAGTTTGAGGTTGCCGTGAGCTAGGCTGATGCCACAGCACTCACTCTAGCCTGTGCAACAAAGCGAGACTCTGTCTCAAAAAAAAAACTCCTGGGCTCAAGCGATCCTCCTGCCTCAGCCTCCCAGAGTGCTAGGATTATAGGCAGGAGCCACCTCGCCTGGACTATATACTGTAAGATTTTTTAAAGCAAAAATTCATCACAGTTTACATTTTGGCAACTGAAAATGCACACCTAACTGCATGATAACAAAAGGAAGAAACCTACAAGATAAACAGAAGTAAAGCACAATTTTAAACACCATGATAGCAGCAGATTTTTAGAAAACATCAACAAGCAACTCAGTACAATTGCAAATGAGAAGGCTCTTTTCTTGCAAATATTTTAGGCAGACTGTGAATATTAGAGAGAGCCACAAACAGAGACAGGTGTTTCAAGTAGAGGCTCCTGACATAAATAAATTACGGATATTACATGCAGTGGTTGAAAATGTTTAGCTAAATATCAGTCTTTTCACCCTCGTCTACCTCCACACAGATTCTAATCACCATTAGTAATGTCACCTTCAGATATGACAGAGATAAAAAAGGCAAATTAATATCCTATAAAAGGCCAGGGACACATGACTTTCTTCTAATAGGTTACATCTCATCACTTTTGCATTTACATATACAACATGCCTTGCTAGAAGGCTCTGGTGCTTTATACTTACTGACTCTGCTTGGTAAGAAAGCACTTTGAAGAGGTCTTTTTCAATAGCAATCTTCTGCATGGTTAAGTGGGCCTCACTGGAGCTCTTCTGCATTAATATGACATATAATTGTTCCACACTCTGGAAAATAAAACCACAATACAATGTAATAATGAGAATAACCACAGATGTTACTAATAATTACCATAGCTAAAAATCATGGGAACTTACAGCCATGGCAGCTTGAAAAAATTCATCAGCAATCAGAGCATTTCCAACATTCACCCACCCTTTTCCTGTTTTCATATTCATCTAGAATAAGAGAGAAATTATAAAATAATGTTTAAAAATTCACACCTCCCCCAAATTGGTTGGGGGTATTGAAGAAAATATTTAATCCTCTATTCATATTCAGTAGCATAGTTCACAAAAAAACAAAAACCAACAGTCAGCATTTAGTAGAGTTCTGTGTTCTGCTTTGAACTGCATAATTTAAGAAAAATGGTCTTAAGAAAAGCAATAATAACCAAAAAATTAATTGACTTGAAAACAAATCTTCTGAGGAAATATTAAAAGAAAACATTAGGATAATTTAGATAGGAAGAGATAGTACTGAAAACTTAATGTTTCACATATTTGAAGAAAGTTATAGGATAAGCATTAAACTATAAGTCAACACACTTGGGTTTAGTTTTTAATTCTATCTCTAATAAAACTTTCATTAATCCAACAAGTGTTTTTATTTATTTATTTATTTGTTTAGAGACAGAGTCTCACTCTGTTGCCCACGCTAGAGTGCTGTGGTGTCAGCCTAGCTCACAGCAACCTCAAACTCCTGGGCTCAAGCAATCCTCCTGCCTCAGCCTCCTGAGTAGCTGGGACTACATGCACATGCCACCATGCCCGGCTAATTTTTTTCTATATATATTTTTAGTTGTCCGGCTAATTTTTACTATTTTTAGTAGAGACGGGGTCTGGCTCTTGCTCAAGCTGGTCTCAAACTCCTGGCCTCAAGTGATCCTCCCACCTCAGCCTCCCAGAGTGCTAGGATTATAGGCATGAGCCACCGCACCCGGCCCAACAAGTGTTTATTAAATATCCTTTACATGCCCGGTACCCAGAAGGAGCTCACAGTATTGTAACTGATAAATATCTAAATAGATTATTGATATGTAATATGCACAAGTGCTATAAAAGCAAACAAGGACTGAATAAAAACCAAGAACTGAGTATGCAGTATATCTACCCCTTCTACCATAAACCCCTAGATATAAATAATACATAGAAACAAGAGAAAATATATACAGTACATATCTTTTTCTTATTCAATAAGAGACCTGAAAAATGAGGCTTTTTCAATGGACCTGAAATTATGAAGAACCTCTGAAAAACAAACAGCAAATGGGATGAGGAGAAACCCACATCACAACATGTACAAAAATGCAAAATGTGGAAACAATAGAACAAAATTATAAAAGTATCAGGCACTTGGCCTCCCAAAAAATGGTTACCTTTCCCCCTTTTATCCATAAAGGAACAGTGAATACAATTACTTGGGCTAGAGAGAAGTAGAGTTTCAGGTAGCTAACAACACATGTCAATGCAAAATATCCATTCTCAAAAAGGAGTGCAAGATGTGGTAAAAAGAAAAGAAAAGGAAAACAAATGCAAAATATCCAGTCCTACCATTCCATCAGTCACCAGTTATAGTACATAATGTGACACAGTATTCACAAAAGACACTCAAAGAATTTCAAATGAAATATGAGCAAGAATTATCAAACTATTGAGGAAAACCAGTACCATGAAAGGACATCACACTCAACAAGCAGAAGAATACCTGAAAAAATAGAATTAAGAGAACTAGCAGATAAAGACAAATATAATTATTATCCACAGAGTTAAATAATTGTCACAATCAATAACATGCTCAAGGCTGGCCATGGTGGCTCACACCTGTAATCCTAGCATTTTGGGAGGCTGAGGTGGGAGGATCACTTGAGGCCAGGAGTTCAAGGCAAGCCTGAGCAAGAGCGAGACCCCATCTCTACCAAAAATAGAAAAATTAACCTGGCATGGTGGTACACACCTGTAGTCCCAGCTACTCACAAGGCTGAGGCAGGAGAGTCGCTTGAGCCTAGGAGTTTGAGGTTGCAGTGAGCTAGATCGCACCACTGCACTCTAGCCAAGGCAACAGAACATCATTCTGTCTCAAAAAAACTCTAGCAAAAAATAATTCATGAATCCAGAATTTTTTAAAAAGGAAGAAGATTTATAGGCGTGAGCCCCACCCACAGCCAATCCAGAATTTTAAGTTCAGTATTTAGTTCATTGAATCATTATAATAACTATAGTATTGTGGAGACCTTTAACTTCAGTAGATATACCAATCATAAAAGGAACATGGATAGCATGAGAGATTCAACTCCCTTCCAGTTTTACACTAACTTCAGTCATTTTCATAGCAGTAACAACTATCTCATTGTATCAGCACTTACCAAAATCTGTCTTCGAATAGCTTCTTCTGAAGCAACTGAGCCTTCATACATACACACCAATTTGCAAGCAACGTGACATACTGCAAAACAGTAATTAGACAACCATAAACACAGAACATTCATTCTGCTTTTATGTACACCTATAAAGAGAAAGGATGATTAGAGGAAAGCCAGTTTTGTTGTTATTAAAAATAAGAATTTTAAAGGCCTTTCAAAAAAAATCAATTTTCAAAAGTAAATGACCTGAAACTTATTAAATGAATCATTTGCTTACTGCTCTAGAGACATATTTAATTCTCAATTTTTAATTTCTTCAGGTCTTTTTTTTTTTTGTCCAATTAACTTCTTTCTATTTTTGGTAGAGATGGGGTCTGCTCTTGTTCAGGCTGGTCTCAAACTCCAGAGCTCAAACAATCCACCCCCCTCAGTCTCCCAGGGTGCTAGTATTACAGGCGTGAGCCACCGCGCCCGTGTCTTCAGGTCTTAAATCCCATAGACTCACTCATTCCCCATGATGTTCTTGTATGCACCATGCTGGCAGAAGAATAATTCTAAGTAGAATTGAAACCTGGCCAGGCGTAGTGGCTCATGCCTGTAATCCTAGCACTCTGGGAGGCTGAGGCGGGTGGATTACTCAAGGTCAGGAGTTTGAGACCAGTCTGAGCAAGAGCGAGACCCCGTCTCCACTAAAAATAGAAAGAAATTAATTGGCCAACTAAAAATATATAAAAAAAATTAGCCGGGCATGGTGATGCATGCCTGTAGTCCCAGCTACTAGGGAGGCTGAGGCAGGAGGATTGCTTGAGCCCCGGAGTTTGAGGTTGCTGTGAGCTAGGCTGATGCCACGGCACTCACTCTAGCCTGGGCAACACAGTGAGACTCTGTCTCAAAAAAAAAAAAAAAATTGAAACCTAAAGCTATTTAACATCTGACAAAAATCTCTGGACATCGGAATAGTTTTAGATTTCTCTCCTAAAATGCGAAACTTTCCAAATATACTCTTTTCTACAGATAACATTTCTTAGAGTATAATTTAGAAAATATAGGCCGGGCGCGTGGCTCACACCTGTAATCCTAGCTCTCTGGGAGGCTGAGGCAGGCGGATTGCTCGAGGTCAGGAGTTCGAAACCAGCCTGAGCAAGAGCGAGACCCCATCTCTACTACAAATAAAAATAAATAATTGGCCAACTAATTATAGAGAAAATTAGCCGGCATGGTGGCCATGCCTGTAGTCCCAGCTACTCGGAGGCTGAGGCAGGAGGATCGCTTGAGCCCAGGAGTTTGAGGTGCTGTGAGCTAGGCTGATGCACGGCACTCACTGTAGCATGGGCAAAAAAGCGAGATTCTGTCTCAAAAAAAAAAAAGAAGAAAGAAAATGTAGACATCTTA